TCTAGTAGAGAATTTCCTGTACTGACATCTGAAACCTGCTTTGTAAATGTTGCATTTGAATAAATCATACTGTTTGTGAACTCGACTACTTGTTTGGGGGGAGGCGATCGGACCTACAGTTGACGGACTGTTCGTGAATCTGATACTGCCAGGGTTGAGCTTATAGGTGATTACACTATTTGGGAACTCGATTTGCTCCTAAGAAGGCGATCGGACCTACGGTCCATGGACTGTTCATGAATCCAATACTGATTTGATATCTCCTTCCCCCCTCCACCACCACTATCTCTTTCAAACTGCAACATTTCACAGTATGACACATCTGGGGCAGATTACTTACCACCCATCAGCTCCTAGCTCCAAATTCAGCAGGGCTTTGACCCCCAGATTATTCTGAGACCACAGGACCCCATTCTCCTGAAGCAGGCGTCTGAAAAGCAGAGATACATAAGAAAATGTTTTGCACTGAGCAGTAACTCAGAGAACATCCCTGATACCATGTGCCAAGCTGTCCCTAGGAGAGCAGGCAGAGGTAATGCTCGCTCCTTGCACGCAATGCTGTCGTTATGCAATAAGGCTCCTGCCAGACCCAGGCTGGTCTCTCCACACGCTGCCGTGTGCCCATCCTAGCTTTGGGACCTCCACACATTCCTCCACTGTGTGCTGCTGTGCTTATGTGCACTCTTGCCTAATGCTCTCTGCTTACTCAAGGCCACAGGGATGAGGGGAAAAGAGAAAAACAGAAAAGATCACTTTTATTTGCAAACTGCAGCATCTTCCAAAGCAAATCTCCTTCAAGGCTTGTCCAGAAGCCTGAGCAGAACTGAACTTTGCCACCCAAGGTAGGAGAGGTCAGGTCCCCATGATTCCCATCATAGGAAAGAGTTCAGAGTAAGAGGAGTTGGGACACCCAGTAGCATTAAGAACAACTGCTGGTGGTAGGAAGGAGGTGTCCTCTCAGCATCAAAAGCAGCCTCCAGCCCAGCTGTTTAAGACTCTGACATAAGCCTAGAACCAAACTTGGCCCAAAGGTACCTTTTTCCATATTGGGACGGATGCTTTTAAGGTGTTGATGCAGTACCTCACAGCTTCAAGAGATTCTGCTCTGTGTGGAGAGGAGACTGCAATAATTACACTTGCTTATCAGAACCAAGCTAAGGAGAGAAAGAAACAACAGCACTTTTAGCTAATGCTTACCCTCAAGAGCAACCAAAAGCTGTGGCCATGTCATGTCAGTACTCTGGCCATGCACCCTCCTGACTCACTCATACTGAGCAAGCGTCAGGTCATGTCCAAAAGATTATACATTTTCAAAAGGAAAGAAAACCACAGCCAAAATTAGTACCAGATGGGAGAATTACATGCTTTAGAATAAATAATCCCACCATTCATAGCCTTCTTTTCTTTCTTCCTCTCTTATAAAATCTATGGAATTAGAGGGGATAATTGCTAACTTATAACAATGCATAGGATACTCACTGAAAACCAGCTGATTAACAGCAACAAGGCAGAAATGGCCATTTCTTCCCTGAAAGCCTGAGAAACCATCTTAGCTTGGAAAAAAGTAAATAAAGCATCTCAGATATAAGGATTTTGCACTAAAATTTAATTTTTGACAAATTCTGATTTCAAATTACGAAGTTTTTCATTCGGTGTGCTATATGTACCAAACTGAGTTAAGAGAGGTACCATAGGGTTTTGTCTCACTCCTCACAGGGGTAGTATTTCCCAAAGCTGCTTTCCAAATCCCCCTCTATAGTAAGATTGCTCTAGCAAACAGCTCAGAGGGAAAATTTAAGTCTCAGTGCTTTGAGCTGCCCTTGATAGAAATCACTCTCTCTGTTGACTATAGTGGAAGTCTAAAGAAACTACTACGCTCCAGAGCTAATATCAGCCTTGTGATCACCTCCAAAGTTATTCCTGCGGACAGAAACACAGAAACAGCATTTGAGACACTCACTCCAGCCCTGCTAACTTCACAGGGAAATCCGATGAACAGAAAAAGCTCAAGAGCGTGTCAGACTAGTGTTCTGTGTTTTATATCCCAACAAAAGATTGATCTCCAAGATTCACGAACTGGAGGCTTTCCTACGAGCATGCTTGACAATTCCCATTCTTACTTCAAATCCTCTATTCTAAACTTCTAGGCTTCCTATGGCATAATTTGACTTACATCTGACAGAAAGAAGATGACATTCTAAAGCACTTCAAGAGAAAAGAGAAGAAATAAAGTGCTTTAAGAAAAGCAACTTTGCCCTTTCCTGCAAGGAAATCAGCAGCCCTTCTCTCCACTTTCAAACTAACACACCAGTATCAAGGCTCATGTAGGCTAAATGCAGATTCTAGGAATATTACCAATATACACTTTTGGAAAACCAAAAGACTAGATTTCTGAAACTGTTGTGCAGTGAGAGGTTGATGCTGCAGGAAGCTCTGCAGCACTACAGAATATACAGACTCCTGTGCATCCTGCAGGTACGCAAGCACATCTGAGCACCAGCCAAGGAATAATACTCAACTTTCCAAAGCATGGGGTCTCACCATACATACCCAAGTCTATGGTGCACTGCAATGTGTTGGACTGATGGCCATTTCTGCCTAACATCTCTGCAGATTTTCTTTATTTCAGTCTCTGCCATTGAAGTATATGCTTCATATTCTAAGCGAATCACTTTTTTCCCTTCAAAATTATTTCTTGTAGTACCTAAACAAGAACAAGTTATCAACTAAAAGCACCAACATACACACCGAGTAAAACCAAAGATCTCCCATGGTGGTCAAGGTCAGCACAGAGCAAATGCACTGCGCTCCCCTCATCTCAGCTGTGAATAGATTCTTCACACTAGAGACATCTTTAACATTCCAGACAGAATTCAGTCCGCAGACTGTGGAAGTCTGTGGTCAACAACAGCCTAGGCTAGGATATCTTTTTGGGGTAGCCGATAAGGTGCTGTTACTGTATTTGCTCAAATAACACTGAAGTACTCAGTACTTGGGAGCCCCATGAGATCAATACCATGTCCATTAAGCAAGAGGATAGAACCATTAGCCTTGACCTTCCCCAGGGCACTGATTTACTTTCAACCAAGATCTGAACAACAGCAGCTTCCATACAGGTGAGCACATGTGGTTTGCATAGCCACAACTACCCACTTCCCATTCTGAATGAGGGTAGAAAGGGAAAGGGGGTGTATTGGAGATAAAAATTTCTGTGATCTGTAGAGTCATAACAACCTCCCATGGGAAGCAGAGGCCAGACCTTGAGAAAGAAGATGTTTGCCTGCCTAGGCTGAGCGATAAGGAGCACGGAGGCAGCTGCTCAGCCCAGTTCACAGGCAGGCCCCCCCGAAAAGAGTTACACAACTAGAGGCAGAGTTTGTCTGCCCCTCTGGCCTGCCTCCTGGGTCCTACTGACCCTACATGCCAGGATGCACCGGGCATGGAGAGGACAGTGTGGAGAGAGGGGGGTGGGGGGGAGAATAAATTCCTCACTCTGAGGTCTACGCTGTCTCCGCGGGAGCCGGTCAGCAACTCTCTCTGATCTGCCAGCTCGAGCGGATGTTCAGGTCCAGTATCTCGCCAGCAGGTATCACCTCGTGAGTAGTTATCCATACTTTGCTGCTTTTATGTGCTTTCACCTGAATAAATGCTCACTGTAGTCACCTTGTTCTAGCGTGATTATTGCCAAATCCCGAGCCCATCTGGAACAGGGGGAGTAACTCCAAGCGGTTTGCTGTTCCAGAGCTGTTGTTCCACAAAGCCAGGACAGCAACACCAGCAGGGAAGTTTCTCATCACCCCGTCCCAATGCAACTGGTAAGAGTTGCCACAGTCTTGTTCTAATAAATTCAGAGTAAATCGTCTAGATGTCCTGGGTCCACTCCAGAAATGCATCCTTCCATATTTTATCCTGAAATTAAACACAGTTTACAACAGAGATTTCTAAGAAAGAGAACTCTTGGGTTCTAATTCTAAGGTTTAATAAGCTTTCCAGGACTTTCAATTCCATCAAACTGCTTCAGTGACACAAAAGTCACTTCAAGTTTTTCTGTGAAGAAAGCAGTAAGTTATCAACTCATCTAAGAATGAAGAGCAAAAGCAGCATGCTGAGCAGCAGCAATGGAACAAACCCCAATAAAAAAATGTACTGGCATTTCAAAGCATGAAGAGAAATAAAAATATTGTACAGACACCTGTCGCTTTGACAGCTACAAACAAAAGAAAACTTTTTTTTAAAGCAGCAGACAATTCTTTTTCTCTATTTTTTTTTCTCTTTAAAAGTAGCAGCAGTTTTTTCACTATTATTTTACTTAGGCAAGCTGGATGTCTATAGACAGCCAGAAACAACTAAAGCATAACAAGACCTAAAAAAAACAAAATCAAAACAACACCTGACCTCTCTCGCTATTTTCTTCCACTTACTGCATATGTGTTAATCATTTATTTGTAGAGCAGCTTATAGTTTCTGGTCAGCACTATGATTCACTCCAGCAGGAAGCAAAAATTAAACTCTCTCAAAAGAGCGGGGGTGAAATGGGGAAATACACATCACATCTCTGGACCTAAACAGAAAAAAAAGGAAGATTACAGAAAACCCATATTTCAACACAGGATGATCCTCCATAGGAAAATAAACAAGAAGTGATACCCACAAAAGATTATTTGGACAGATTCAGCCTCCACTGATTGGTGAGAGGATGGTAACCTCATCTTCAGGGTGCAGGACCAAGAGCTGGTCTCCAAGCAGCACATACTCCTGCCAAACAGCAAACACCCCTTGATCCCAGATAGCAGCAAGCCTGAGGGCAATAAGCAAGAGCACAAATGGGTTTCTAAATAGAGTGTTTGCACTTAACCATGAGATTTCTTTAAACAACAAACCGGTGCACAGCCCAGGGCAGATGAGGTTAATTCTGTGACTTACACGACTGTTTCCAATATTCTTCTAAAACATCATATATAACAAACAACCACCTCCTACTTTTGGATTTTATTGTTGTGGGTAAGGGGGAACCAACTCAGTAAAATTATTAGAAGTCAAGAATTGAGTTTGTCACATGCATTTATAAACAACATCAAAACTGAGGTAGACAAGATCCACTTCAAAAGCTTCTAACAAATCAATAGGTAACTCAAGAGGATATCAACTCTGGACACCATGAGATTAGAGCCTCTTCCCCAACTAAGTTCAGTCATAAAGTTAGTATGAGCACTTCACTAAGACAGAAATGAATGCTAACACTTTAAAAGATGCGGACATCTAATTATATTATTTTAGAACATAAAGTGCAGCACAGACTGCATAGAACTGTACTGCTAGAAATGGAAAGGGATGCCAAAAGGTCTTAGTAAAAATCATCTTATTTCCTACCAGCCAACAGGCAAGGCACAGTAGCACTGATTCAGAGGACAGTCTGAAGGGAGGGACTGTTAAGAAAGTAAAGAGTCACTGAAGAACTTAGCACAACTATGGAACTAAAGTGCTGATCAGAAGGATGGCTTCTAATTAGTGTCACTTCCAAGTTAATTCATTGGGGGAAAAGAGTGGAACAGAAGAGCATTGTCAAGTATGTTCAAGCTGCAGTTTGAATATCCATTAGCAATGTGAATAGAAGTCTGTGGTTAATGCCCTACTATTATGTTGAGTTTTTCCAGAAAAGCTAGGAACAGAAGCATTTCCAAGAAGGCCACTGTGAAGTAACTGCACATGCAAAATGTACTGCTCAGAGTCTTCATTCATAAAAGGATGAACTTGGAAAACTACAGCAAACTGAACAAAGGTGCTTCTGCTTCTGACACCAACCAGAGCAGCAGTGTAGGCTGTAATGCATGCTGCAAAGTAAAATACACTCATTCCTTACTGCCTCTTCTCCCCAACACACCTGGCCTGGTTGTCTGTGAAGAAAAGTCCCCTAGTCGAACATTTGTTTAGAACTTCTCACTAGGAAATAGCTGCCATTGCTAAACAGTTTTTCTTTTTTTTTTTTTAGGGAGCAATTTCTCTCCAAGTTAGATGGACAAAGCTCACTGAATACCCTAAGAACATGAGTGTACTCCACCTCCTAAGTAAAAATTAATAGATAATTGTATTTCCTAGTTGGAATGTAAGACATTACTTCTTTTTATATTATTATTATTATTATTATTATTATTATTATTATTATTATTATTATTATTAACAGGCTGTGCAGAGAGGTTGTGGAGAGGTTATGGTTGTCCATATCCTTGGAGATATTCAAAAACTGACTGGACATGGTCCTGGGCAATATTCTCTACGTGCTCTGCTTGAGTAGGAGGTTAGACCAGATGATATCCAAGGATCCTTTCAAACCTTAACCATTCTGTGATTCTGTACATCAAACTCACTATTGACAGGCTTGTGTACATTACCTGAGCCTTAATCAGGCTCAGAGATGGAAATCTGTCGCAGTTGTGGTGGCCATAAACACAAGCAACTGGGGTAGATGCAATGCAAACTACACTTTATTGTTTTTTAGGTACATTATTTATACCGAGCTTTCCTCGTCGTGGCTGCTGCTTATTGGTGAGGACTACAAAGGACAGTAGCTAGTAACAGAGTTATGATTGGATGACTCTTAGCTTGGCCAGTTTCTGCTCTGTGGCCAAAACCTCCTTAAATTTGTTAATAACTTTCTGCTGTCTCCGTGTGAATTCCCTATCTCATAGATACACTCTAATCTTCAAGGTTAACGTTCTCTGCTAAGGGAGCCAGAGATTCTACAGACCTGCTGTAATCCCTGACAGAAATCACTCTGCATTACTACAGCACATCAAATACTCTTTCAGGACCTGACTCCCTAAGAAATAAAACAGACTTCTTTCTTCAGAGGAGGTTGAAAGTGTGCCTGTTTCTTAAGCAAGGGCTGAGTAGCTAGAAGTCTGTGGCAGAGCTTGAGCACCCTTTTTAACCTGCTTTCCAGTGACTGCCATAAGCTCAGACAAAAGGCGAAGCAGACAGAAAGGGGGAAGTGATCAAAGGCACCTGCTCCTAATCAAAAATTTCTTTTTCATGGCACTGACTGTGCTGGATCCTTTTTGCAGATGTTTCACTTTCTCCACAGATACCACAAACAGGTTAGGTACTCTACAGTCACCTGCAGGTGACTGCTTCCAGAGCGGCCCTCCTGAATGATGAGTCACGTACGTTACTTATGCCCAGCTTTGGGGAACATCTATTGGATCTGGGCTTTTCTGGCGTAAAGCTACAGAATTTGCAGTTTGCCAAAAAGCACGCAGATTACAAGGACAAGGCTCTGCTCGTACGATACCAAAACACTGCCACATGTTCCAGCAGTGCCCTCCCCAGATACCTTGGATGCAGCTTCATGATGTCTTCCGAGAGAAGCACGCACAGCGTCTTGGAGCGCAGCCCCACCAGCTCCACGCTCCTCGCGAAGTACAGCACTGTGACCTGCACGGGAGACAAGCGCCTGCTCCTGAGACATATGCATAACATACGTATAACACACGTACACACACACAGGTTTCACACTTTCAGGTGGAAAGGGGAAAACAGGCAGGATTTTTGATACTAATCGTGGCCCCACACCAGGCCTTGGACGTTGCGGCCCTGCGGCTCTGGCCTGGGTTGGGGTAGCGGCTAACACCGGAGCCTGGGAGCTGCCGCACCGGGGCCCGTGCGCAGCCCCAACTTGCCCCGCTCTGCGCTGCCCAGCCGGGATGGTGCCAGGGCCGCGGCACCTACCTGGCAGTGCATGGAGCCACCATCCCCGGGCCCGCAGCGGCAGCAGGCTGAGTGGTGCAGGGCCCAGTGTGCCCCTTGCAGCCTGGGCAGGAGGCGGCGCGGCCCCGCCGTGGGGCGCTAGGTGGCGCCGGTGTGAGGGGACCCCCAAAGAGGGGAGGCCACGGTCTCGGCTTCACCCCGCAATGCGGCCTGTAGTCCAGGGGACAGCACCTTAAAAGGTGGATTTCAAAGAGGAGCAATACAATTTTCCAGTATGTTTTTCTTTTTTTTTTTTTCAGTCAAACTTTTGATTTTGAGACAGGATCTGTGTTGTAAACAGTGTGCACTCATTACATGGCACACATTGTAAATCATATATAAAAGTATATATGTATAATGTATGTATAACAGGAGCTAAGGGTCCCTTAGAATGTGTTTAAGTTTCCTGAGGAAGGCGCTGGTTGGTACAAGATGTCCTCTGGTTGTGGCAAGATGTCATCTGCCTCCCTAAGGACAACCACACGCCCCCGGCAAGGGCTTGCACAGAAAAACAGCCCCAGCAAGGAATGGCCAGAGTTATTTTTGTGCTGTTTACGAGGCAGCATGTGTAACCTCACAAGAGTCAAACTAACTCCTTCTACCACACAAACCATAGAGGAATCTGTCGTTCTTACTAGTGATGTAGAGTTTGCAATTGCGCGGAAAATCTCGCTGTCAA